CCAACCAAGGCGTGACAAATCACAAATCAAGTGCTACAACTATCAAAGGTTCGGCCATTATGCCTATGAATGTAGAACTCCTACAAGAAAATTTGAGGAGAAGGCGAACTATGTGGAGGAAAGGAGTCAAGAAGATGGCACTCTATTGATGGTATGCAATGACAATGTAGGAGAACAAGAGAAAACATGGTATCTAGACACAGAATCAAGCAATCCAGAATTAGAATTCGATATCCAAAATGAATTAGAGTTAGAGAAATCAGAGACTATGGAAGAAGAAGAGCATCAAGAAGAAACTGAAGCTAAAGCTGATAATATTGATGATATGGAAGAAGATATAGAAGCTGCTGAATGGATAAATAAATCCGATTTGATGAAAGAACATGAAGAAAAAAGTGGAGGAGAAGGTGACAACGAGCGTAGTGGTGATCCTGACGATGTCGATCATGATGATGAGGAATGTGAGGAAGAAGAGGAGAATGAAGCAGTACTAACACTGCCAGAATCAAAGATAGAACCCCAAAGAAATTTCATATTGGATGAAAGAATGACAACCAAGAAAAAGCATATAGCAACTGAAGAAATAAAAGTTGAAGGCGTATTCTCAGAAGGGCAGACAGTTCAAGATGGAAATGATCAAACTCCTCCACCAAGTCCTACTCCAACAACTCTTGCATCTACACCAACAACAAGAAGAGTGCCACTCCCTCTAGCGAACTAGGTTGATTTATTTTTCACACACCTGACACACCCATGCCCCATCTTTTCCTAGGTTCTAGTCTAGGAAAAACAAAATTCAAATTAAAAATTAAGATATTATTTCCTTTCACTCACAGAAGAGTAAGTGCCCCATTCCTTATCCAAGTAGAACACATCCCAATACCTCTTGCCTTCTCTTTCATACTTTTCTGTAACCAAAAACCAAAAATTTAAAACTTTTTTTTGGGGGAGGGGGATTGCGAGCAGAAATATGAGAGAGAGAAAGAGAAACCTTGCCAAAAGGAAAAACTAAAACAAAAATTGAAATGTGTGTGACTAGAACAAGAACCTAGGAAAAGATGGGGCATGGGTGGTGTGAGAAAAATAAATCAACCTAGTTCACTGTGTCCAGTAGGAAACTTCTAAATGGCTGCCACATGTCTTGAACAAGCTTAGAGCAAACTGATAATTTAATCACGTAGTTTGCTACTGATAGTAGCAAACTACACGGCCACCAGAAAGGTGTCACATCTAGAAACGAAGTTCGCTATCTACTATATCGAACTTGTACACGTGGTACTTTGGGAAATTTTACTATTCGTGTAAGAACTCGCACCGTTAATTAAGGAATTTAATTAATTAATTATGTGAAATTAGGAAATGATTCCATAATTGACCCTAATAATTATTATGAGGCTTAGATAAATATAGTAAGTGAGTAATAATGCTGAAAGTCGCTTTTCGGAGGAAAAGTGCAGATACTAGTTCTGCTAGTCGGTATAAATGCGTACCGGAAAAGTATCCCGGAAAATTATGAAAAGTGATTATATATTATGGGAATAATATATAAGACTTGTAAAACGAGTTTCAAGTTAAAATAATGAGAACTTGTGCCAGAACTGATACTGGCTATGGAAAATCGCGTACCAGAAAGGTGCTCAGAAAATTATAAGAAAAATATGATAATTCTTGTAAAATTGAGTAGGTTAAGAATCCTGAGTTTGGGATTAAAATGCTAAGCGTAGCAATTAAAGTTAATACAGTGTGTTAATTGGTTAAGTGACTATATAAGCTTAGTGCACATGATCCTAGGTCATAAATTGCTGCCTCCTACGTGAGTTTTGCTGAGTCTTGAGTCAGCCACCATTTTTCCACCTTCTCCTCCATTGTTGAGAGCCAAGGAGCTTCCTTTCTCCTTGGTTTCTTCTCCAAAACACCTTGGGTGAGTGGGAAATACTTGGGTGAGTGTGTTGTGAGCTCCATTTCTGAGTTGGTGGGCTGTCTTGAGGGCCTTTGAGTACTGACTTTGGGAGTTGGTATTGTGAAGCCATTTTTGTGGCATTTTGGAGCTTCAAGAAGCTTCCTTTGTGAGGAAAGGGCCAAGCTTTGGTAGCATTTTTGTGTCCTTTGCAAGTCAGAACTTGGGAGCTATTGTGTGAGCTCCAAGAGCACTTTACTTCTCTGTTTTGAACCTTTGGTGAGTTGTACCACCTTGATCATGGGTTTTCAGGGGTTAAAGGTGATATATTTGCATGTTAATGAGTTAAGCAAGTAACCAACTGGTATGTAAATCTAAGAGAGTATAAAAATGCATGCTTTAACGTGTTTAAGTGTTAAAAATGGAACATTGGAAGAATATCTTCGCGAAATGCCAAAACTGCATTCTGTCGCGAAATATCCGGATATCCGGATTTTGGATATCCGGATATGGGGATCTGGATATCCGAATATTGAATATCCGGATATGTCCCCGAAGAACAGTTCAGTATTGTTCATACAGTAGGCTATTGGGGGTTTGTGGACCCTAGATTGATGAAGTTGAACTTCTGTAACTAATGAACTAAGTCAGAATCAAGTGATTAAGGGCTTATGGCTTGGTGAGAAGCCTTAAGACGTAAAACGTAATGATAAGCCGTTGTCTTTATGTTGTATACTTGTAGAGTATGATTGTTGATATAGTATTGGTCCATAACAGATTGTGATTCTGCTGTATTTGGACATTGAGCTTGTGGACTCTTGGTATTGGATAGCTAGTTTACAAGGTAAGCTTTCGTGTCCTCGGTTTAGCCATGTTGTGGTTCCACCATGTCCCTTGGGGGTATGGTTATATGCATGTTATGTTACATGCTTTGATATATATATGAACTACTGTTGAGCTTTATGTGTTAATGGCTTTTAATATGCATGTGTTGTTCCATCTTGACGGTAAGCCTGAGTATGTGGCGTCATACAATACGGTGATCCGGGGTAGATGCAAGTGGCGTCTTGCACTATGTGTAGGTGATAGACATATTCCTGCACTATCTCTGGCCAGTAGAATAGTAGTTGACACACATGACATGATGATAAACTGCTGCATTGCACTGTTTTAGAACTGATGATGATAAACTGCTTTTGAAGTTATATTGCACATGTAAGTGAGCTTGGGGTGGAAGATCCTTGAGGACTCACTGTCTTACTGAGGTTTCTTGTTTATAGATCTCACCCCACGTTTGGGGAATGCTTATTTCAGGATCAGGTAACTTGGGGGCTGATGCCTCCGGCGGCAGGAGGCCAGAGCTTAGTTGATATTATTGTTGTTTTATTATGCTGTCATGACTGGATGGGTGTTGCTTATGTTTTAGTCTTATTGAGATTATGTTGTTTATGTTGAGACTGATGTTGGGCTTTGTTGCCTTATTTGAGTGAGCATGGGGATTGTCCATGACACTTGCTGTTAGTACTTTTAGATTGGAGTTGTATAAACTGATAGTTGGTCCGGTCTACTTGATGTAGTTCCGTGATTAGAGACTCATTTATGTTATTTATATCATGAGGTATTTCAGTTAGCTGTTTTATTGCAATTTACATACAGGCAATGTTTTATTAATTGACTAATAAGCAAGTTGGTAATGATAATGACTTCATAATTAAAAAGAAAAAGATATTTCGCATTTTTAATTAAGCGCAGCTTAATACGATAGTATGATAACATCACCGGATATATACGGGGTGTTACAATTCGCGTGGTAGTTGGGTGAATTTTTTTCTAAACAGTGACATTATGGTCATTGTTCCGATCTTGGTGAATATAAATGATGGTCTAGAAGATCTACAGTTTCTCCGACTACTTTATAGATTTTGGGGATATGGGTATTTTTCAAGGGTCGAGACTCTAAGGGCCCTTTTAGTGGTTAGGATAAAGAGGACAAGAAATAATAGACTATTATATTTTACTCGTATCTATTGCTTGGTGAAGCAATAAGATACTATAAGCTGATTTTATTGGCTCATTTTATCATGTTACATCCCTCTCATTCCAAATATAGCCATATGCTCTTCTCTTACGAATTTTAGTGGGCATGTGAGGGATAACCCTAGCCACTGAAAAGTCGCCGCCACTGCCGACCATGGCCCACTTTACATCACCCACAACCACTAGGTACCAACCACCATTGTCATAACTAGTTGCCACTGCCACTTCCACTTGCCACCAACGCACCAATCACCATCACCACCGCTGTCATCGCAAGTGGCCATCACCACCATCAGCTACCACAATTACCATAACACCACTTCCACTAACCACCCCTATCTGCGTCCACCACCACCACTTGTAGCTAAGCACCACCTCAAAACACTGCCACCCGCAATCACTAGACACAAACCATCACTACTACCACTTGTCATCGATGCCGCCACCATTAGTCAACCATCATAATTAGCACCAGCCATTATCAACGCTGTCACCACCACTCATTATCACCATCCCCCACAACCACTACCAACACCACCACCCATCGGTTATCAATATTGACAAATAATTTAGAGTAAATACCCTTTTTAGTCCCTGACAATATCCACGAAGGCCTTTTCAGTCCCTGGCAATAAAAAAGGGACAAATTGGTCCCTAAAATAACAAAAAAAAGGGCCACGTTGGTCCTTCTGTTAACTCCACCGTAACGGCTCAACTAACGATGCCAATATGGCACGTTAGTGTGATGACGCGGCTTGGACGTTTGACAGCATGGATGAAGAGACGACGAGGTTTTGTTGCAAATGGGTTGAGAAGCTTTCCAAAGTAGCTTACGACGTCGTTTCTTGGTTTTTGCAGGAAAAGAAAAAGAACACAGTTATCTTGCTTTTGTTTCTGATCTTCAAGAATCTCTTCTTAACCTTGTGATTTTTCAAACTATAGCTGCATGGGTGTTAGCGTTTCTCTCCAATAACAAAATATCTTTAACCATCTGGTAAATTTGATCGTTTTCTTAAATCCATCTGTTATGTTTACATGACATTTCCTGCCAATTCCTGCTGGGACTCCGACAAGCCAAAAGCATACTTAGGTGCAATAGTCAACAATGCAACCTCACCCTTCTTCATGGTCAACACAGCTCTGTCAAGCCCATCAATTACTTGCTCTGTTCAACACATCAAACATTAGCTGTAGTTAGCATAAAAATAAATTTGTGGAAGGTGGGAAGAAACATTGGGACGTTTCCTGTTACCTTCATCTGTTTTGAATTCAAACAGCTGCCCTTCATCATCATGGCCCTTCTTCATAAAGAGATTACCATCTTGCAGCTTACCAATTAGTTTCACTGCAAAGATGAAAAAGGAGGAAGAAAATACCAAAAACACATTCTAGGTCCATTAACAAAGCAAAAATCATCATTCACATTAATGAGCATTACATTTCACAATGGCTCCCTCATTTGGACGCTCATATCCACGAAGTTATTAAAGGATGGGATGAAGCTATTAAAACCATGAAGAAAGGTGAAAATGCCATTTTCACCATCCCACCTGAGCTAGCTTATGGTGAATCTGGTTCTCCTCTAACTATTCCTCCCAGCTCGACTCTCCAATTTCATGTTGAGCTTCTGTCTTGGACTAGTGTGAAGGACATATGTAAAGATGGAGGTTTGTTTAAGAAGATACTTACTGAGGGGGAGAAATGGGAGAATCCCAAGGATCCTGATGAAGTCTTAGGTATACATATTTCTTACATATGTCCTTGATGTTTTATCGCTGTATTATTTAACTTAGTCTTAACTATAAACTGTACTCTTGGTGTTGCAGTTAAGTATGAAGCACGTCTTGATGATGGAACACTTGTAACGAAATCTGATGGAGTGGAGTTCACAGTTAAAGAAGGTCAGTGCCTACAAATTTTGTTAATCTCTTATTCTAATTTTTCTTTTGTGTGGTATCTTACATTAATGTTTTACTCTATGATAGGTCATTTTTGTCCTGCTTTGTCAAAGGCTGTTAAAACCATGAAGAAGGGAGAGAGAGTTATTTTGACTGTGAAGCCACAATGTAAGTTATCTACATAATGATTTAGTAAATGGTGATATGAATTTTTTATTTTTTATTTTATTTTTTTGGAAAACTATATGACAAGTAATATTGATATTATCTCCATTTACTCTTTTAGTTCAAAGTTTCATGCATTTCTTTGTTGGTTTATAGATGGATTTGGTGAGAAGGGTAAACCAGCGCATGGTGACGAAGGTGTAGTTCCACCTAATGCAACACTGCAGATTACTCTCGAGTTTGTTTCTTGGAAGACTATGTCAGACGTAACTGATGACAAGGTTATTTTGTTATTGGATTTAAGAAAACGATCAAATTTACCAGATGGTTAAAGATATTTTGTTATTGGAGAGGAACGCTAACATCCATGCAGCTATAGTTTGAAAAATCATAAGGTTAAGAAGGGATTCTTGAAGATCAGAAACAAAAGCAAGATAACTGTGTTCTTTTTCTTTTCCTGCAAAAACCAAGAAACGACGTCGTAAGCTATTTTGGAAAGCTTTTCAACTCATTTGCAACAAAACGTCGTCGTCTCTTCATCCATGCTGTCAAACATCTAAGTTGCGTCATCACACTAACGTGCCACATGGGCACCGTTAGTTGAGCCGTTACGGTGGAGTTAACAGAAGGACCAACGTGGCCCCTTTTTTGTTATTTTAGAGACCAATTTGTCCCTTTTTTATTTCCAGGAACTGAAAAGGCCTTCGTGGATATTGCTAGGGACTAAAAAGGGTACTTACTCAATAATTTAAAAACCTATTTGGTGAGGGAGTATTTTTTTTATTTTAAAAAAACTTTATAAGTTATTTATGTATTTAAATATTTTTAATTTAAAATTATGACTTGAAATTTTTTAATAATTTAAAATAAAAACTAATATGTAAATAAATAAAAAAATAGTTTAAAAGTAAATTTTAAAAAATTATATAAAATTATGTTAAAAGGGTACTTTTGTATATTTATATCATATTATGACACTATATGATTCGTCTTAAATATTTGATAAGATAACATTATCTTATCATACAATTTATTTAGTGTACATCAAACACGAGATATGATATGAGCTTATTAGTTCCATATCCTATCATACTCTATTTTGGTCCTCTTATCCTATTATGTCGACTAAACTAGGGGTGTTCGTGGTTTGGATTGGATCGGTTTTGAAAGCAAAAATCTTCTGATCCAATACTTTCGGTTTGATCATTTAATCATCCATTCGATTTGATTTTTTTTCAAATCCGATCTGATCCAATCCAATTTTTTTCGGTTTGGATTGGATCGGTTTTCAGTTTTTTGAAAATCCTAAATTTTGTTTCATGATTATTGTGCAAATAACATCTTTTGTATATATTGACTTTGTAATTTTTTTTTTAAAATACAAAAGCATCAGTAAACGATAATATAGTTTTTTTTTTACAATGAGATATGAAGCTCTACACAGATGAGATTTTGTTGATGAGATGTGATTAGGTTTTTTCTTTGGTGTAGTTGATGGGTTAACAGGTATTGAGTTTAGAAATTTTTGGGCTATGATTGGGGAAAAACCCAAGTAAGTAGAGAAAAATTAATATATTGGATCGGTTTGGATTGGATCGGTTTTCATCAACTCATCCGAAAATCGATCCAATCCAATTAAAATTTGCAGTTTTTTTCGGTTTTCGGTTTTCGGTTTATTCAGTTTTTCGGTTCGGTCACCGCGGTTTGAATCGGTTTGGACCAGTTGATGAACACCCCTAGACTAAACGGCCCTAAGCTCCTTGTCCCATCCAATATGCCATTTGATCAAGGCTTGCCATTTTTTTGTATAACTTTTCTCTTTTGTTATTAAAGTAGCTTTTCCAACAATTTGGTACAAATGAATTGAGTAGAGTCAATAAGATGGTCTGAACTGTCTGCCATTACATGCTGGCCTTAATATAAGTTTATATCAGAATCGATCGGTAGTTTGATCTTTGGTGGTTTACTATGTAAGTTTTGGGGGTAACATCCGTATGAAATAATATATTGATTCAGCAGCTTGTGGGGAAAAAAGTTTAATTTCTCACGGTTCCTACCATAATGTAAAGGGCTAACTCTATAGCTTAAGTTATTAGCTAAAAGCTTACAAATAGTTTTATATTATGTTCCTACATGCAATAGATTCGTACTACTCCTATATTTTGTCGAATATCATTTCTTATCTATTCTTGTATGATCTCATATCCACCAAACATCTTCATTTTCGCTACTTTTATTTTATACTCATGTTGCCTGTGTATTGACCAATATTAAGTTTCGTATAACATTGTAGACCTTATTGTTATTTTATGAAAATTTCCTTTTAGCCCTTGGGATTTTGTGATCACACAAAAATGTTGATTCAATGGTCGACATTCTTGTCAATCTCTCTCACCTTTTGCAATATTAATCTAGATATCTAAAATCATCTTTCTTTCGTACCTCCTATCCTAACATATGCAAAGAATCTCAATCTCTATCTCTTTCCATACCAAACTCACACATCAGTAACTTCTAGGGATGTGGTTAGGATAGCATACATGGCCTATTAAACTCACAAGTACTCAACCTTTCTCTTACTTATTCTTTAAATTTCAACATGCTTCTCCACATTTTTTTTAACACCATCTTTGATCTCATCAAAATGCACAATATCATCTACAAATAACATACACCGTGTTAACCTGTCTTGGACTTCTTTTGTTAATTCATTTATAACTAGAGCAAAAAGATAAGGACTCAAAGCAAAACCTTGATGTAAACCTACTTCGATAGAAAAATAACTTGATGTTCCATTACAAGCCTTCGAAACATGTAGTAACACCATCATACACATCATTGACTGCTTCTACATACTTCGATGGTACATTTTTCTTCTCAATGCCTTCTAGACATTATAAACATTATATTATATGTAGCTCCCTTTTTTATATATTTCTGTCAATTGTCGTATTGATAAAATAGTCTCCATGGTCGATCTTCTTAGCATAAAACCAAATTTATTTATGGAGACTTCGGTCTCTGTTCTCAAGCAATACTCAGTAACACTTTCACAATTTTATAGAATGGTTCATAAGCTTAATGCATCAGAATTAATTAATCCTCTAACTGAAGCAATATTAGAAGTTGTTTCTTGATTTCATTATTTTTCATGAATTTGTTTCCTTTTAATCTAGGGCTAGTAGTTGTATTATATTATTGGCCTTGGATTGTGAAGTTTTGTTCTGTTGAATTTCTTTTATCTTGATTGTTTTCTGTTTTTTTTTTCTTTAGGAGGATTAGTTATCCTCCTTCTTTGCAAATTACTTTGCTTGGGCTTCTAGTCGTAGTACTTGACCTGGTATTAGTATAAATAAGGCCATTGGGATGATAATTTGGTATAACATCATTACATCTTATCAGTCTAATACAATACTATTGAAAGCATCCTTTCTCTCTTTTCCTTCATTATCTGAACCTTTTAAATCCAACACATAAAAACCTTGTTTTTGGTGTTTATTTATTTCTTATATTATGAATATAGTTGAAATATGACAATCTATAATATACGTAGAGCTGTCTATAGCTGTAGTGGAGACATTGGTTATATTTAGTCTTGTTTGGGTAATTCATTTCTCTTTTAATTATAATGTATTATAATCGTATATAAAAATTAACGGTGGAATTCTTATGAATGCTTTTTTACGGTGTTTTAAAACTCAGACCGGTCATTAACTCGGTCGAGATACTGAGTCATTGAGTCATTAGTTCAATCGGGTTCAACCAGATTTACTGTTCGCATATTAAAAAAATATAAATATGTTACTTATATTAAAAATTCACATAAGAAAACAATCAATGAGCTTTAAAAAATAAATTGGTTTTCAATGATAGCAAATATTATATACTTCTAAGCTTCTAGCTCTAGACCATATTCTAACATTGGATTAAAATTGCAATGTAAGCTAAATGTATCTTTTGTCTTGACATAACATAGATAAATTAAACCATGATAACAAAATGGTAGGCAAGAATTATACAATAAGGAGAAAGTGTCCAACGTTGAAATGAAACCATCAGTGTTTATCTCTATTTAATTTCTTGAGATCATTTTGTGATGCAACTAAATTACACAAAGGAACTGCACTAATTCAAAATATCTTCTTATTTTCACCTTACTTTTTAATCATATTTACCACAAAATATGAGTATGATTTAATTCAAGAGTTTTTAGTGGCAAAAAAAAATAGATTTACCAAAAAAAAAAATAGAGGGTCAACCGGTCCGATCCAAACTGAGCTGACTACAGAACCGATTCAAATACCCACTCGAACCAAGGACCTCTGTCAACCCCACCGGTCCAAGTCGATTTTAAAACACTTTTTTTAGCACGAAAACCAAGTACCAGCAGTTTCAAGTGCAGAAGTCATTCTCTTATAAAAGATGCCATGCAGCATTTTGCAGTTGTTAAAAGTTTGATGGAGCCTATTTTGATCTGGGCTGCATGTGCCTTCAATTATTTTTAAATTTTTTTGTTACAAATACTCTGGTGCCTTTCTTTTGTTAATCTGAATACTATTGGAAAGAATTTTGTGGGTGACGAAGGATTGTTATACTTAAGGTGATGTATTGGACTAAGATTTTAAAGGATTTTTTATGAAAAAAAAATTCATTGGTATTCAATTAGAATTTTAAAGCATTATAAAAATGTTATATGGTATTCGATGAAGCCATTTAATTAGAAGGCCCCTAGATGCTCCTGTAAGAACAGAAATGTATTACCAAGAGCTCAACACAAAAAGAGGTAGAGGTAGACCGAAACTTACTTGAGGGAAGGTAGTAAAACAAGATTTAATGAAGTGAGATATAGATTGGCGGACGGTATGCCTTAGAACGGAATGGAGAAAAGCTATAAGCATGGAGGAGGGTTAGAACCGTTGTTATTCCTATGTTCCAGATTGTCCCTTTTTAGTCTTCTTCCCCTTCATTTCCCCCTCTTCTTCTTTCCCTTTCTTTTTTACTTTTTAGTTTTTACTTTTATTTTTTTATTTTTTCAACCTTTTTGTATCTTTTATTTGGGTTCATCCACCAACAACTCCAATTGATTTGGGATAAATGTGTTGTTGATGTTGATGTTTATTCAAATTCAGGATTTTAAATAAAGAATAAACAATCTTCTGATATTAAATTTATTAGTATGAATTTTGTAGGATTTTTAATGGGAGATATAAATACTATTCTTGCCTTACAATCCTACCCTAGCTCCATAGAGTTCTTGAGATTTCTCTAGTGTTGCCCTAACATAATCTCAAACTCAATGTATTTTCTTTATGTTATTTTTGTTTCTCTATATACAAACTCACATATCGATTTATATCTCTATGCAAATTCTTTATATGTTTGTTGCTTTATGGATTTATGTCGTATGTCTCTCAGTTCTTTTAGCAAGCACTATGCTGGCTTATTCTAGCAATTCTAACAGAACCAAAAAAAAATAAAAATACAAATAGACATTGTTGTTCATATTTCTGAGGGGTTAAAAAAAATCTAAACTTTATGAAAGAGTGACAAGGTTGGTTGGGTGAAGAAAAAGCAAGACCCATAAACTTGGGTCTGTTTGATTTCAAATTCTCAAAAACAGTTTTTAAGTTTTTAAAACAAAAAAACAAAAAAATCTGTTTGGAAATGATTCTTTTGCAAAATACTTCCCAAAACAATGATTCTTTTTCAGTTTTAAAAACCAAAAAACGAAAACAACCTGGCGATGTTCTCCCGTGGAGTTTTTGGCTTTTTTTGTTTAGGCGGTGGCAATTTTGTAAATTTCAAGATTCATTAATGGCAATTTCGTAAATTCAGGAGCAAAAACAATTACTTTATGGTGGCATTTTTGTAATTCTAAAACTTCAGTAATGGCATTTTTGTAAATAACTACAACTTTTTTATAACTTTAATTTAACTACACTCAAACAAGTTTTTTTATTTTTTTACTATCAAAATCAGTTTTTAAATTTCATATTCAAAACAGTGTTTGAAAACAAAAAAACTAAAACACTTTGAAACATACCCATTATCTTTTCCTTTATTTCATTCTCACTCAAATTTCTCATAAATCCAATAATTGCAACACCAAAAAAAATTGAAGTGCAAAACAAACTCCCAAACTAAAGGAAAATGAGGTGTTAGGAGACCATGTTGTTTCAACCAATTGTTCAAACCCAAGAAGATGCTAATGCTTGGAGGACTAATATAACTTCTGAAATGAGGAGAGATGTTACTTTGGGGGCTATGAAGTTATATCAAATTGCAATGAAATTAAGAAAATTGTATTAGTGTTTTTTCTTTTTTATTGATATTATTGCATTTCTTTGTTATATTTCTTTTATTGACTCTTGTAACTTTGAATTTTTGTTACTAATTCATATGATTTTTTTTAAATCTTGTAAATTCTTATTGTGCTTTCTAATCTTACAAATTCTATTAAAATCATATAAAATCTAACTTGTCAAATCTTGATTGTCAAAAAAGTCTTTTAATTTTTTTTTTTTGTAAATCTATATTATCCTTACAAATCTATTAAAATCTTTTAAAATCTGTAAAAAAAATTATCCCAAAAAAATATTTTATAATTTTAATCTTGTTGAGCGGAAAGAACATCCCACATCCTGCTTCGCTTTGGTCTTTAAAATTGAAAATTGTTAGGTACATTAGCTATTAGCCTTAGTCCCTATCCAAGTTAAATTCATGGGTAGCTTGTATTTAAATGAAGCCACTTACATGGTTCTAAACAATTGGATGTAGTTGTATATCAAGGTAGTACCAATGTCGAGTCTACTGCTTGTATATCGCGTAGGTTGTGAATTGTGATATGAACTTGTATTACTAAGAAAGAGACAATGGAGTCCAGCTCCTTACAATAAGGAAATCCCTCACTAAACTCCTCACAATAGTAAAAATTCCTCTTAATTACTCTTGAAATCAAAATAAAATGCACGAAAAATGAAAAAACTCAAAATAAAGATAAAGACAAGCACACTGTAAACCACTGTACAAAGGATCCCAAAATCCTCACTTAATCTTCAGATACTCTCCACCTATGCTTCCTCCTTTAATTAGAGTCTCTAATAGAATTCACAAGGTCGTCACTCGTCCTTGCCAAATGACAATTCTGTTATTTCCATTAAGGTCAAGGTTGTTCAATTGCAATACATATTATGTATTATTTAACTTTTTTTTATATCGTGAATCGTATCAAATTGTAAAATTAAAAAATTTAATAAAAATAATTTAAAAATATATTATAATATAAATTGTATTTTAAGCCTTCAATTCATCTCCCTTTATTTATCCCGTAGTACTTCTTTGAAAACTTCTTTAAGAGGACGTTTGGTACCCGATTTTTTTTTCTTTCCCAGGAATAACTTGCTATGACATAAATGAATCTCGTGTTTGGTTCGCAGAAAATGAAAAAAATTCAGTGTTCAAAGTTATCCCGGCAAAGCTTGTAACGTATAATGTACAGTACATAAAACAAATCTGAAACTCCATTCATAAGATGAAACTCTTCGGGACCCGGGGAAATAGAAAATGAGGCGCACGAATATTGACGAAATTATCCTTCATTTTGGTACGAACCTCTCTGCTTAGAGGCTGCATCTTGAGCAGCCTTCTGTGTAGATATGAGACTGTACAATATAAGACAATTTGAAAAATAAATTATGCATGGCAATACATAAAGATAAATAAAAGGAAAAAGTTAAGTCACTAAATTACGCAGAGTAACTGTGATACTTTTAGGTAAGTCTTCTGCTTAAGCATTTATTTTATCCTGTGTTTTTGTACCATATGTATGTTAACTAACTGGCCGCAGACGGGGTGTTACACATTAGAGGTCCCACATACATTGAAGTCTTGCTACTAAAAAGTTTGTTCCTGATCTCTTCCCTAGTTGCTTGACTATAAAGGTTGTCCTCCATTGCCTACAATCCTTTGTATGTTGGCTTTTAGACACTCTATAAGCTAGACATACAGGATCCTCCTCACCTTGCGTAAGATCCTTCTCTATGTTTGCTTCTTCCTGCCCCCTCCATTTTTTTTTCCATCTAGTCTTCTTCCTCGCTCTCTTATGTGTTTCCATCCCAATTTAAATAGAGAAGCTTATCTTTATAAGACACTACTTTCCTTCCTTGGCAAACACTTAAGCTTTGACGAGCTTTGACCCTTCCACGCACAGTTAAATGTTTCTTCAATGGGGAATCTTCTTGAATGTTTCCTTCTCAAGCATCTCATCATCTATGGCAGCATCATCTCCTATATCTCCTTTGGGCTTTTTAACTCCTCCTTCTCCAACACTAGCCCTATTCTCTTTGAAATCTCCTCAAAACTTATTCTCCTTTATGACTATGCAGGAATTCAATTCTTTCCATATGGATCTGAATATTGTAATCAACACTATGAAATATGCCTTTGGTTTGACTTTAAGGATTCTTAGCATAGATCAAAGATTCAAAATGATGTAACATCGTCTTTGTAGAGATTTATTTAGTCAAGCATGAAACATATTATATCATATGGATCGATCATATGTTATTACTTTGCGCTAACTTGACTCATGAATTAATCTTTTAAGGACCTCATTCTTAATTCTTTTCTTTTAAAGATTAATATGATTAGTATTTTATTTTTAAGAGACAAAATAAAACTTTAAGAAACAAACATAAGGTATATATAGATTTTTTTTATAATAAATACAAATATTTTTTTATTATTGATTAATTTAAAATACATCATAGTCTGAACTCATTAATAATGGCGAAGAACTTTAATTGTGACTAAGCCCCGACTCGAGATTAGTTCCATAGTCGACTCAGAATTAAAATTGGTGAAGATACTTAATAGACAGACTTGCCTTAAAGAGATAATTAGAGTCGATATATCAAAAATAAAATAAAATAAAATCAGTCATACTCACCTTAAAAATAAATCACTTTAAAGTTGATATTGTACTTGTATGCTTTATTTCTAATACTTCTAATACGAAGTGATAGTAGAGTGGACCATCACATGCATTAAGAGATGGTAAAGAGTGGATTGTAATGTAGCCGTTGGCGACATCCAAACGATCGCATGGCAATGGACCCTACGGCCTACACTAGCCACTAGGGCTGCACGGATATAGATTCCTAAATACCTTTTCATACCTTCTTTTGTGGAAAAAATCAAAATAAAAAATTAAACAACTTAAATATTGTTATAAACCCGACAAAGGCCTATATTCTAGAAGGTCTGAATAGGGTTAAACAACTAAGAGAAAATTAAGAAAATATTTCTTAATTATAGTAATCCTACTACGGCAGCAATGGATCAACAATTGGACCTCCAATACTCCTAAGAGGCCCAAAAGTCCACTCCTGTCAGGTAACTCATCTATAAATAAGGGATTAAACCAATAAGATACACACACTCTAAACCCTCTCTCTTAGCTTATCACTGTGCACACACCCTACGCCTTGACTATGTCGTTATAATATTGTGCACAGTGATCCGCTGATCTCTAGGGTACCTCTCCTATAGGTACCTGAGGGAGGACAAACAGATCCTATATTAACATACCAATCTCTGATTGGACACATATCGATGTATCATATCGTAACAAATATGAAAATTTTGTGAGTCATTTTCAATTGTGCATACAGAGTAGTGCATGTAAAAAAAAAAATAGTCACTACTATTACACGGTTTGCAAAGAGAAAAGTATTCAACCAGTTCAATTATCCATGTAAATTTCTAAAACCTTCTCAACGTTTATCTTTTTAGGTAAAATTCAAAAGAAACAACTTAACAAATATGAAGATTTCGCGAGTCATTTTCAATTGTGCATACGGAGCACTGTGATCTTGGCGAGATAGTATAGGATATAAATTACACAGTTTGTATAAAAATAATCGTACAAAAATATTAAAATGGTTATCTTACTTGCCAACGGACAAGAATGCAAGTGGTTTAAATAGTAAATTGAAACATGGTAGATTGTGACTTATTCTCTACCATAATGATGTCAAATAATAGCGATCCAGTTGTGGGAAGAGTGTTCAAAATCATTCATTAATGTAAGTTCCTCCTTGGTGGGGTTCAGACGCTACCTAGAGGAGGAACATACATTCATGAAATGAAAGCAACATTGAATTACAGTGAGAAAGATCCCAAATTCAAAATTCCTAAGGTAGTGGAAGTCAATGAATGAATCATTAAATGGCGTAGTAATGAGAACCCCGTTTGCTAGATTTGATTCCCCTTTAAAGTGTCACACTTGGGAACTTGCAAGATCCATAACCTACAAAAGTTTAAAAATAAATTAAATAAAAACAAGTAAAGGCAAAACATAATAAGGACAAACAAGTCAACACCCAAGAATTCTGTTAAAATTCAATTTAATTTAAACTTTCAATCACTTATTCAAGTAGTTTAACATTGAACACAATTTCATCATCGTGTGTTTGTTTTGGCTTTCCAAGTCGAAGATCCCATTTAGTATAATCTCCAGTATTTTAAGTGTTATCATCTTGATTTGAAAAGAACAAGTTGAAGGTAGATGCAAAAAATTTAGTGGCCATACACAGGAAAACAATAACCTTTTTTTCTTTTTCAATAAGAAGTCAAGCATGAGTTATACTCTCTCTCTCTCTCTTTTTAGATAACAGTATTTTTCCATGCCATGATCAATTTTAAGATGCAGTCACGCCACAAATCAAACACTTCACTTTAATAATAATTGCACATCTAAAAAATTGTTAACAAAAACTAACAAAATTTAATTCAAACCCCACAAATTCATTTAGTATATTCTCCAGTATTTGAAGTCTTATCATCTTGATTTGAAAAGAACAAGTTGAAGGTAGATGCAAAAAATTTAGTGGCCATACACAGGAAAGCAATAACCTTTTTTTTCTTTTTCAATAAAAAGTCAAGCATGAGTTATACTCTCTCTCTTTTTAGATAACAGTATTTTTTCATGCCATGATCAATTTTAAGATGCAGTCACGCCACAAATCAAACACTTCACTTTAATAATTACACATCTAAAAAAATTGTTAACAAAAACTAACAAAATTTAGTTCAAACCCCACAAACGTAAGAATAAAATTTTACTCTATATTGTTGAAAATTTTAAAAAAAGAGCTTAACAAGAAAATTTAAAAATAAGAGTAAATATTTTTTGGGTATCAAAAAACACAGAACTTATTTTAATCTTTTAGAAAAAAAAATTGAATTCTGATCATTCCTTTAAAATTTTAGTTTTTCGAAATTGTAAGCCATCTGAAATTCAAACAAGATCTATGTTAGTCCCTAAAGAAAGACTAACCAGTTCCGTATTTTTTGTTTTGTTGAGTACACGTAAGATATTTTCTCTAAAAATAATAATAATAATAATACTTTTTGTTGCTGATAAAAAACAAAAAAAAACCCACTTACTTGGATCCTTTGCAGTTTGCGTGGCAAGCCCATTGAAGTAACAAGTCCCACCTGACTTCCTAAACTGCGTCCAATACGAACTAAACGCATAGCTCGCGTGCCAGAAAAGTGAATCGGGTTTAAAACACGGTTTCCCGGGTCGGATCGGGTCGCAGGTGTTGTTCCCCTGCGAGCATGCGTACGACAAAGCCGCAGCCAGCGCCGTCGCATTACTCCCACGTACCGCCACGCACCATATCTTTCCCTTGAACGGCGCGTTATTCTCCGGCAGAGGCAACGGCCTGAACTCAGACTCCAGCGTCTTCCCGGAGAGGTCAATGTCATAAACCCTCGACCCATTCGGGTACAGCAACCCGAAATGCCGTTCCGTGCCCGGACCCGGTTTCTGGTTCTCATTAAACAACGCGAATATAAACGACGGAAGAACCCAACCCGGTCGAGCCGGAGTCCCAACGGCCGGTTTTTTCATAACCTTCTTCACGAAGTTCCGATTGTAAGTGGCAGCATTGTAAATATTAGCTCCGATCTGGTCAATGTCCCCTCCATTGGGCCAACCCGTTTCCGCAATGAATATCCGAACACCCGGAAACCCGAGCCTCTTCATCGCGAAATAAACAGCATCCACCATCTGGTCGAACAGGTTCGTATAAACCAGACCCGTACCCGGATCCGTAACCGTAATATTCTTCGACTCAAACAACGCATAATCCAAGTTAATATTAACAGGATCCGAAACCCAAGCGAAAAAGGGATAAACATCTAAGAAAAAGAAAGACTTAGACCGATCCAAGAACTCAAGCATGGGTTTCATGACCCGACCCGCTATATCTTCACGAAACGCACCGTTTGAGGGTGGGAACGAAGCTTCCAACACATCCATGGCGGAAGAGGTTCCAACTTTAACCTTACGGATCCCGAAGGTTCTAAGAGAGTGCTTGATCCTACGCATTGCGGGAACAAGATTGAACCATGTTTCGTTGTTTGTGCTGCTTATGATTTCGTTACCTACGAGGAGGTAGCGAATGAGGGTGTGTGGGTGAAAGGGTACAACGTTGTTGTGAACCCATTGGTCTGAGAGTGTTTGGTTGGAAGAGATGTTGGAGATGAGTTCGTTGGGTACCATGATAGAGACTTGGAGGTTTGTGTTCTTCAGAGCATTGAGAATCTCTGGGTTAGCGTCGTAGATTTTCACGCGCTTTGCTTTCAGGGAGTTTATGAGTTTCACTGAATTCCATGGCGGTGGAAGGTTGTTGCCAAGTTGACCGTAGCAGATTCCTGGTTGAGGTGAGAAAGACGCGCCTGTGAATGAAAATGGGTTAGAGGAAAACCATCACTGAACAAAAAACAAAAAAAACAACAACCACATTTTGGTTTTAAGAGAAAGAAGCTCACTTGATATGCTGAAAACAAAGGAGAACACTATCAATGGAATGAGAAGAACCATAGCCATTTTTATTTTGGCTATTACTACTCCTCTCTTTTTTTTTTGTTAAAGTAAGATAAGCACAACGTGGATTGGAAGTAATGTTTGAAAAAAAAGGAATTTTTTTTTTCTGGGTAATATTGAATGGAAGTGAGGGAGCAAGAACAGAAGTTAGATCCCTAAACCATGGCCATGTTTGCTCTGTTTAAGACTCTGTTTCTCTGAAGCTGGCACAATGTGTATATTTTTATATCAATCTATGACTATATAAAAAAAGTTGCTGAGGGAAAAATCATTTTTTTTTCTGGTAAGATAGAATAGAAGCTGTGTAGTGCAGGGAACGATGGATTCTTCAAGTGGATGATGGATATATGGGAAGATGAGCCTTTTGGTAGGTTTAAGAAAGTGGGAAAAATGATAATTAATGAGTGGAATAATAGCAACGACTATTTTTGCAATTGGGGAATATTTTACTTTTTGTTAGTCTATCTTCTTCTTTGCAAAAGTATAGTAATTAATAATAAAATTTATAATAAACAATTAATACAGTGAGAATAAGAGAGAATCTGGTAAAAAAAAAGGTGGGGACAATTTTTTTTATTTTTTTTGGATACTGAGAACAATTGGATTTTGCTCTTAATTATTATTGATTTAATGACAATGTGAACAGCAAAGCAAGCATTTGGTGAGTTTCCACGAATCAACTGAAAAGTATAAATGGGGAGTCTGAAAAAGGTATTACGGTACGGATGTGAAAGAGAAGTTAGCCGTTGAGTTATAAAAGAGCATCGTGATGACGAGTTTCCACGAAGCATTTGGCGAGTTTTTAAAAATTTAAAGAAAATAAATTTAAATAATTTTATAATTTATTATACATATTATATAAAAAAATTATTATACATATAAATATATTTTATTAAAATTCTAATTATTATTATTTTTAATAACTATTATAACTTTATATTATTGTTTTTTTAATGCTGGTACTTTTGAGCAGCAAAATTCGCATCTATTTATATACGTTCAGGTTGGTGTATAGGTTCCGTGGAACTCTGATGGAAAAGTAAGTATAAAGTGATTGATGCGTATCAGAGAAAGCTTATATCAATTTTTTTTGTAATACTTATCAGAGAAAGCTTTTATGGTCCAACGACAGCCATACACCGACAAGCTGTCTTGGGAAAAAAATTAATTAATTGTTAATTATAAATTTAATACTGTTTTCAAATTATTTACACGTATATTGTAATATGTCGGGCCTATATAAAGGAGGCATCACCTATCACATTCAAAGGAAGCATCAATTCCACACACGAAATGCTTCATTTAAGCATTACCTATTACTCCCAAACCAAGAGTAATACGTCGGGCCTATATAAACTCCAATTATTTTTACTTTTACCATTTCACTCTCTCTCTGACTTCTCTCTAGACGCTATTGCTCTCCCTTTCGCGAAAAATTGATTAGTGAAGCTCTGTCCGTCAAGTAAGTTTTTAATAACTACTTTCTATATGTTTAAATTACAGTAATAGATTAGGAATATGTTGATGATTTAGGAATTTATTAGAGACTTAGGAAACTATTAGTGTACTAGAAATATCAAGTGGCTTAAGAATTAATGTTACTTACCTACGAATTAATTAGTGACTTAGGAATTTGGTAGTTGCCTAAAAATTTTTGTGTGCTTTATAAAATTGATTTAGTGACTTGGGTAATGAATACTGTCCAGAACAAGTAATTGAAATTATCATATAATTAGGGTTGGGTAACTCCAAAAAGATTATCGTCCAAATTAAAATTATAATATATGATAATTTCAATTACTTGTTCTAGGACAGTATTCATTACCCAATGATAATTAGGGTTAGCCAACTCCAAAATTAAAATTATATAATAGACCAAAATATATATTTAAAATTACAAAAATATATGTATAGTTGATAAAAATAATAATTTAAATGAAAAAAATAAGAAATGATATATTTATACTTTAAAAGAATATATATTAAAATTTTAACTAAAAAAGTAATACAAAAAGAGAAACATTTACGTACAAGTATTTTTTAAATATACATGTATAAACAATTTTAAAAAATATAAAAATTATAAATTAAAAGAGAAAAAAGTTATATAAAAAATATGTAGAATTAATAAAAAAAATTAAATTTTAAATAAAAAATGATGTTTATCATTTTGTAAAAGAACAAATTATAAAAATTTAATTACTGTAAAAATGAATAAATTAGTATATAAGAAAGAAATTAAACTTTCATTCTTTTGATGCAAGAGTGTACTTAAAACAATTTCCTATATCGTGAATGAATAACTAGAAGCTATTACTTGGAGAATGTGCACAACCTTTTATGCATGTTTCCTATTACTTTCTGCATGAGAAATTGTTAAAACAATTAATAATATTTATTATTATGTCTATTGAGTGGAAAAATACTTAATATTTAAAATTCAAACTTTTTAAATTAGAATTTTGAACTTAATAGATGGGAAAATATTTAAACATTCAATATTTTTCACTACTTTCAGCATGAAAAATTGTTAAACATATTTATAATATTTATTATTATGTTTATTGGGCTAATTATTATACCTATTAGGATTAATTAATTTCGTTGCTGCAAAAAACAAACCAATCATTATTTTGTTAGAAGCTTTAAAAAATCAGTTTTACCAAAATAATATTTAACGATATTTATGATTACATGTTTCCAATCTATTGAGGTGTTGGATATAACACCTCACATGTTTAAAATGCATTATTAATGATAAAATTATGGATTAGAGGGTTTAATTGATGAAAATCCTGAATTTTGGGTGACAATACACTTGAAGGGCAAAATGGTAATTTGATAATTACTAAACCCTAAAATTATGAAATGATATAATTAGACATTATTTGGTTAAAATAATATTGGATTTGGATTCAGAATGAAATTTGAAAGTGGATAAGTACTTTTCTGGAAAATTGATGAATAGTGATTTTTAGCGGATGAAATATCGCAGTATAATTTTACTGAAAAACTCAAAAATAATATTAATATTCTAGGAATGGATATATGTTGAAAGAAGTGTTTAGAACCATGAGAAATAATTATTTGAGGAATTTTGATGGTTTTGGAAAAAATACAGTTAATGTGAGTGTAGGGGCAAAAATGGAATTATGCAAAAATTGTCTGAATCTATTAAATATTGTATTGTGACATTATTAAAATATAATTGTGTATCTTGAATTTAGGAAAATACCTCAGTCTTGAAATTTTTCAAGAATTCAAGAAGAATAATTAAGTAAATTGAATTTTAGATATTTTATAACTTTTCCAAAAAATCAAATAAAGTGGTTAGGATTTATATATTCTCGTAATTAGTTAGTTTGGCTCATCTTCTTCCTCCTTAAGCTCCCATGGCCGAAACCTCCATAGTAGGATAACTTAGGTTTGCAACTTTTTATTTTGACATCGAATCAAGAAAGTTACAACATGAAAAATACTCGAAATCACTTGGTGATCAAAAAGCCTAAAAGAATTCCTTGAGAAAGTGAGTGAGTGAGGAGATCCAAGATCTTTAAGGTGGCGGTTTCTTGGTGTGTGAGTAGCCAATTCTGGTAGTTTTTGTTGCTTGGAAGCTTGTACATTACTCTCTTTAAGCCTGGGAACTCATCGGTGGTAAGATTCCTCAAACTTAATATATCTTATGGATCGAAATTCATACATAATATGATGTGTATATTGGTGGGTATGGTTAGAGATTTTTTATGGCTATGTTCCTTTGGAATTTATTGTTCATATGAATAAATAATCGATAGAAATTCAATAAAAATTTAAGTGATTTTGGTGCCAGCACTTAGACAAATTTTCAAGGTTGAAAGATTGACGATTTGTGAAGGAAGTCTTTGATGGATGATGTAATTGATTTGTGGTTGTTTGAATCATAAATTATGAAGTTTAAAAAGAGTTTTAAGTGTGTGAATTGGTTGAAAAATCCTTTGATTTCCTTTATGCACACATTCAGCCATATTGGAGTTTTTAGGGGGAAATGATATAAATTGTGTTGGGACTTGATGGAAGGTGTGGGAATATATTGTTGATTTGTTTGATAAGGTTGTTTAATTGATGGCATTGGTTTTTTGAAATTAAAACACCTTAGAAGGCCTTTTTGCCTTTTGGCCGTGAGCTATATGTTTATGTGGGGGGGGTCATTGTATTGTAATTTGCTTGTGTTTTTCAAGCATGTGTGTTGATCATTATATGTATAATCATTGTAGGTTGCCTTTCTAGGATCGAATTGTAGAGGATTGAGTTTGTGAAACTTTTTACAAGTAAAATTTTGTGTCTCCTGGGGTTAGTCCCTTTGTGTACTCCACCATGTCCTTTGGGAATGGTTGGATTTGTGATCTTTGATAATGTGTAATATAGTATGATCATGCATTCTTACCTGATGTTGGACATGCGTTTTGGCATGCTGTTTGGTATATATTTTGATATACCTGTATTCTTGTTTGGTATATGTTTTGATATACATGTATCTCTGACCAGTAGATAGATATTGTGTGGACTTCCACCGGATATGTCTCTAGGTATGGAGTTTCAGTTGGCGCAGTGCCTTAGAGTTGTTAACGCTATTGGAAAGTCTCGGGAGTTATATGATGGGATCCTTATATAATATCCTTGTTAGGATGTTCTTTGATGTTTGCCCAGTAACGAGATCCTTGAACAATAGTTCTTGGATGTTTGCTCGATGATTATTGTGATTGGGATCCTTGAGTAATAGTTCTTGGATGTTTGCCTGGTGATTGTTGTGATTTTGTATGTTATACTATACATTTGTTATCATTGGCTCATTGCATGCACATTAAGTGAGTCATTGGGTGGAGTGATCCTCCAGGACCCGTGGTTTACTAAGATATTCAAATCTCACCCCGCGTTATGAGGCCCTTTTTTCAGGTACTACTAGTGTTGCTGGAGAAGCCTTGGGCAAGAAGCCCACTTAGTATGGACACGAGCATATGGAGTATTTTGACATGTGCATAGGAGTGCATGAGGATTTACTTGGCATTTTGAGATGTTATTTTATAGTTGCTTATTTTGTATCATTGACTTAGTGCATGAATATTGGTCTTGTATGTGATGTTATTGTAACAGCCCGTTCTACACAGGTATTGTTAACATTGATTATGATATT